ACGACATATAATACTCCTATTTTTAACTTGTACGCAGCGGAGTAAAAGCTTAGTCTGTTTAACAAATTAACATCGCTGTCTTAAGCGTTCTACTGGCTGTCTAGGCAGATTTGTATTCGCACTCCTACAGAAAATTTATTTCATTTCAGAGGACAGTCTGCAGCAAAATGAGGTTTCATCTCACTTCATAACTTCTTTCTAACCACTAATCTTCAATAACTTTTGGGCGAATCATTGTTGCAATGTACTGTCTTTCAAGACCATGCATAAAATGGGTATTTGATCTTAAATAATTCAAATATTTGGTTGCTTAAACCTGCCGTTCAAAAATTCTTGCAAGAAGGAGAGGAATAAATAAGCAGCTCTTGTCAAAAGTTAGAGCTCGTTGTATTTTTAATCAATGATTTCGACCAGTATGTTCCAAGATTCCTTAGAGGGTCAAGTTCTTGCTGTTATGTTGCGCCGTTAGGAAACTCAGTCTTTCTTTTCCGTTGGGTTATAAAATTATTATTTCATTACATTCGTGAATAGTTTTGGGGCTACCACTGGGCCTGTTCTCATTAAGCTCGCTCCCTTCCGTTCGTCGAGAAGAACAGTTGTGTTGATTTGTTTTGGAAGTAAACTGCTTAATTAGACTCGTTTAAGGCAGCAATAGCTGCATTACAACCCTTTGTTAAAAATATGACTACGCTGCTTTAACTCTGATTATTACGACTGGTTACTTAAAATAAGAAATAGTACGGTGATTTCGTCCTGCAGGATGTATCAAGAGGAATACTAAATTAGTTCTTCTGTGCATTAGCTTCCCGTCAGCGATATAAGAGAACGGAGCATGACAAAGAATGTACCAAGCGGTTCACAGCACGAAAACTTGGTTGATGATGCTGAGTTGAATCTGCTTTCATTGCTCCGTAAAAGTCTTGACCCCCCTGATATGTACCCCAAATTATGTTTTCTTTCCCTGCTCTGTGGTAGTCGTCTTCTGGGAATCTTTCTCTACATGTGTTGTGAAAGCTCTTCCTCAAATTCGTTCTTTGGCGCTTGAGAACCGAGCATTCCCCAATATTTGGATTTCTGGATGAACCCTAAGATTTTTAACCTGTGTTTGGGTAATCCAGTCATCTAAAACGTCGTGATTTCAATAAAGGTTCATTTTTTAAACCTGATATATCTCCTCTCGCCATAAATTTTATGAAAAATACACTTTTGCATGGCGTTTACGAATTTGACATCAACTACTTCTCGTAATATACCTTAATGAGGGCATTACAAACGGGCATTCACTAATGAGTGTACTGTTTGCCGCCTTGATGCACGTCTCCCTGGAAAATTTCCAGTCGACCGTAAAGGGTTTTGATTTTTGATTACATTCCAATTGAATTACACAGGACAATGCTAGGAGTAACGTCGGTGTAATGTAAGCTTAAACGTAGTGTTCTTTCAGTAAATGAGACACGTTTTGCTATGTGCTTTCGTAGTCCAAATAATGCTGTAGGTGGAAAAGAACTAGACGCTGTGTTCCATATCAGTTTGCAAAACTCGAAATTTTTCCACATTCCTATATCGCTCCTTGTTGTGAGTTAAATACTTAAACTTGCTAGAGCTTTTATACAGCACCACAAAACAATACTTCGTTCTACTTCATTTACATCGTATTGATGTAAAAAAGAAAAAGAGCATACATTAAAATTAGATCCGTGAGGAGTAGTAGTGAAGAAATACATAGATCTTCCAAAAGGTGGATAAAACTGAACTAGAGATAAGAAAAAAAAGCAGAAAGTGAGCAGCTCCTCTAAATTTATCAAACTTCCTTCATGAAAAACTATAAATGAGGAATTTGTATTTCTGTATTTCTGCTGGGCTTACTGTTTGTATTTCTGCTGCTGGGCTCGCAACAAAAACTACAGAACTGATTGCAGCTAATAATGTCCTTTAATAGCTCTACCTGAAATTCTAAGCTAAGGTAAATTCCTGCTACCTTCTTCGAGACAATTTCGAGAGTAAGCCAGATGAGTGACAACTTCACCGAATACTAAAACTAGATATTTACTAAAGTCCGCTTATTGCGAAAATTAGTGGTAAAAATAAAGTCTTACCGACTTTTTCTTGGTATTACGTACGCTATGCGACCAGTGTTCAAAACGTCATTAAGTGATAGCGCGAGGCAGTAAAGTTTTTCTCATTTAGCAGTCAAGTTTTATTTGGACAAGGGTTTGCCAGTCGCATATCTCAACCGCATACTTTTACCTTTCTAGACATACTGGTCGCAAGAACGTTTTTCATACTTTTTTCTTCTTGAATTTCTTGAATAATACTCAGTTTATTATATTGAAAATGTAACAAGAGAAAAATTTTATATACTTTACACACCCTGTCTTAAGATAAAATTTGAAGGTGGAGATTTGTCAAAACTTCATCCCCTGACCCATCTGGATTTTTAATGGGAATTTACGATTTCTGCACTGATGCTTAGTCAGGTAAAAATATGAATGCTCAAACAATCAAATTGATCAATGGAGCGTACTGACTTATCAAAAAATTGTGATTCAGTGCGATAACACATCTACGTCTCGGCACAGCAAGTACTGTTTCGGAATAATTATACTCTATGTCACAGTATTACGACAAATTTTTAGGAATCAATCCGTGCACTTTACCATCTCGACCCATGCATTGGTAATTACTCTAAAATTCGACGTTTCACCATTCCTCAAATCACTTTATTGTTCTACTGGAAACAACCCAAAGTCTCTACCATCAGTGAACTAAGACAGTAAAAACTACCGGATTCCCAATGACTGAGGCAGCCTAAGTTTTTTTATCAGACTCCTTATAATGTTTCTTATGGTGGGCTGTAGGTGCAAAACCTTTTTGAGGTTTGTTCCACGAAGAATTTATCGTAAATCTCACCAAAAAACATCATCCTTCACTAGACAGTCTTCAGCAGGCATTCGTATAGTCATAAGAACCCTTGCAGCACTAAAACGAACACAGACAGCAGCAGCCAGAGTCCTTATACTTAGAAGGTTTAAATTTTTTCCACTGACCAACACACAACAATACCGCTGCATAGTCATTATTAATCATGCGAAATTATGTTGTTGCCAACTTTTTTTACACAGACGCAACTAACATTCTACTAACATAGCAAAAATGACAGCTGCAAACTTCTCAAACGGCTTTGAAGCTCATAATAAAAGTGCCCTGCCTTACTGCTGCTCGAATAAAAGCGTATTCGAAGACGACTAGAAAATTAAAAAATCTTCAAAACATCTACTTTTCCTTTTTTTCTTTTTTTTTTTGAATGGTTTCAACTATTACCGAAGCAGTCAGCAAATGTATCATTCTGAACTTGCAGAACCAGTTGGACGAGTCGTTAAACGGTTTATATAATGGTAAAACCAGTCGGAAACTCAAAATGTGCTAAGATAAATCAATTTGACACGAGAAATAAAATCACAATAACAACGACAAAAATAAAAGATGAGAATGAACAAAAACATGGATGGCGCAGAATTCTAACAGTAATTCTTGGCAGAAAGCTACCGGTGTAGACAATCTCTAATCATATCAGCAGGCATAGTTTTGCAAGTACTTTCAAAAGGTACTAAAATCTCACAGCATATCGGCAGATCTTGACATTAGAGTAGTATAGAAGAATAATAAATAAAAGTTCCTGTACATAATAGTAAAGATGTTAATGATAAATGACTAGAAAGCGACTTATTTGAGAGTAATATAGAAGGATCTTTAGCACCACGAACTGCGCCTTAAACAAATTTTCAGTAACAAATAAACTCCCGTCTCCCCCAAATTTTGCTCTGAGCAGCCCACAAATCAAAACTAAAGCAGGAGAACTCATCATTACCCGTACAAGTTCCGTAACGTCATTAGTAACATAAAACAATGAGTCCGCTAATTAAGAACATCAACACTCCTACCAAACCTTCGAAAACTTCAACCCCACATCCAAAATTAGCTATATTAATTGGCCAGTTACTGCAAAAACTCAAGGGAAATATAAAAAACAATTTCTAAATTGGCAACTTTCTGAAAGACTACAAGCTAGAAGAGCAGAAGGTACTGCCGAAGCGTCTTAAAAATCACTATAAAAAGTGAACCCCTGAAAATATTTATAGAGAATTATTGCCCTGAAAAATGATTGTCAAAGAAGGGTACTGCTCTTTAGCAATCAGTAATCGTAATTCCCTTGTGTTTCATGCTTCTGAATGACACCTACAATAACCTGTCAATAATAGCCGCTTTATTTTACGCTAAAGAGTTCAACTTAAATACTCCAAAGTTACTCCACAATTACGCCGTCAAAATGTTAATGGGTCAGTTTAGGTGAGGTGGTTGTTCATAAAAATGTAAGTAGCCTCCCATTACAATGACTAAAAAATTTCTTCGTAATCAACTATTTTTCATCATAATTAGGAAGAATGCACCTGAACCACTGAAGAAACCATATTTTGAAGCCGACTTTTTTTTTCAAGAGAGAACCGATCTCTAAGAAAACCAGCTTCCTTTTCTGTCAACGCTTATCTGTAGCTAAAACAGAACTTTTTTGTTCGATATGTTGTCTACATTGTTAAAATATGCAACCACCAAAAGCCTTTTCCCAATGTATACTTTAACCCGTGATAACTAGGCAGTCTCCATTGTTCCTAAATTAAAACTGCAACAAAATTTCACAAATAGCGATACCCCTTAGTTATTTTCGAAGTATTTTCCTCACCCTTCCCTTCTACCTGTTCTTTTGACAGCAGCGTCATCCATCTTAATCGAACGTCTATATCATATATCTTATAAAAGAGGAAGCTAAAGCCGCTTTTAAAGCAAAAAATGGAGTTGAGAATATTGCCGAGAATTTCAAACAAAGTAATAAAAATAATATCTATACGGCAACATGAATTTCATAAATGACTATATAAGCATGAGAAGATTTAGAGCAAACGTTCAGACGTTCACAACTAGCCAACCTAAAAAAGTATCGATGATTATGCATTTTCTCCGCTTGGAATTTGAGACTTCAAGGTTCTGCAAAGACTCTGTAACTGCTGCAACTGTCGATCTTTTAGAGCACATGCTTCCTCAGTCTCTTTGCTCTTCAAACTTGCCGCTGCCAGAGCGCTAAAAAAAGAAAGCTAATAACGTATTTTACACAGACAATTAAAAATTAATTCGAATGCAAAACTCAGGCTTAGTTTCCGCTCTCCACCTCTTTTTACAGTCTTAAAAAACTAAAAATTGATTTCATAATGAACAATACTCACTCAACAGTTTCCTCATACATTTTTTTCCACTTTCGTGACTCCTTTTCCATCTTAATCAGAGTGCCATTCATCTGTAAAAAAGAAGCAAAAATAGTCAAATAAAAATTTCTAGCCTGTAAGAATCGATTTGGTGTTAATTAACCCAACTTCTTTTCAAATGTTTACAAACTCTCACGAATGCAAATGTAAAGAAAAAAAACGATTACCCTTTCCATTTCACGTTTAAACTTGTCAAACGTTTCATTCGAGTTGTTAAGACTATCATGAAGTTCACTATATTTTTTTGAATATTTGTTAATTTGCTGCCTCATAGCTTTTTCACTTTCCAGAGCCTCCTTCAGCTTCAACTCCCGTCCCAGTAACTGAAAGAAATTATTTACGAGGAATTACACATAGTACTTGAAATGTATACACACGATAAAAAAACTAACAATGAGGAGGTATTTCAACTCATTGAGAAAAATATCACGTCAAAAAACATTTTTTTATGTGCAGTAGTCATTAATAAAAACAAGTCAGTTGACCTCGTTTTGTAACTGAAGCTTTTCCTGCACAGCCTTCTCTGTTTCTAGCGCAGCGGCGCTTAACTTCGTCTTATAAAGTTCTACTTCCATATTCCGTGTAGTGGTTAACTTCTCACAATACATGTTCTTCTGAAACAAGTCCTTATCACTATATCTAGTAAATGTAGTAATAAAAGCATTCAATTCCAAATGGAATAACGACAGCGAACTCAAATATCGCATTCTGATAAAATAAAATAAATACACAAAGGATAATAACAAAATTTCCAGCCAGAGCTTATTAATGTCACTTGTAAACTAAAAAGCACAACCTTAAAAATACCTCTTCAAACTGTTTCGACAACTGCGCGACTCTATTTTCATATTCCTTCGAAAGACTTTTCAACTTTTCTGACAAACTCGCATTATCGTTGGTTAACCTTTCTGAAGTCTCACGATCGGCTTCCATAGATTTCTAAAAAATGTAAATAAAGGCAGAAGACCAAAAACTTTATCAAAAAATAACTCAGTGTTGATATCCAGTGCTTAAAAGACGCAATACATCCCAAATAATATTCTGCAAAAAGGACTTTACTTGGATATTCGCGACCGAACTCTTAAACTGGTCTATGAGTTCTTGACGGTTCTTCTCAAGCGTTTTTAACTTCTCGTAGTGTTCATCATGAGCTTTTTTTTGAGATTTCTGCATTTCTCTACAGAGATTTTCGAGCTTGCTTTTAGCCAGTTCCGTCTTCATTAGAACTGATTCTACGGTTTCCACTTTCTTCATCAACTAAGAAAGCCAAACATTACACATCTTTTTGGTGAATCAAAAAGCTGAGTCTTATTTAAAATTAGTCTAGTGAAAAACCGTTAACAACCTGAACATTAACAAATTAACAATTAAATAATTTATTCAGCAAAGTAAGTTGTTTTATAATTATAGCTAAGAATAAAAAACTCTAGGCTAGGAAACAGTTAACTAAATAATTTTTAAATGCAAATTCCTCGTGATTTTTTGAAGAAATAATTACTAGTAAGGTTGGTTTTGAAAAGTTCCTCTAACAAGATATAAATGTCAAGTAGCAGTATACCCAGCAAAAAGTTCATCTCGATTTGTTAATAGGAAAAGTAACTGCCGACGTGGAAAACTCTAAACATTAAAATTAAAAACTGGTCATAAAACGATAAATCAGTTTTTTCATTCCTGTCAGAACTGCAGTTAAGACTTATTTTCAGAGCCGTCTCTTTAATTAAACTAGTGTTTACATTCACCGTAACCGAATGCCATTTTCTAGTCACAACACGAATGCAAAAACCCCAATTCCGCAACTTTCTCCATTCAAACCTATTATAGCTTAAAAAATGCAGAGATAGTGTTGTATAACTCACACCCAGTTACGGACCAAGACTGTAAATAAACTAGCGTAGTTTTCAGTTTTATAGTGGCTACTTAAATAAACGGATGTAATTGTGAACCGGGAGCCTTTGACCCAATCAAAAAAATACAAACATTTAGCGAACCGTGAAATAAGTTAAAACTCAACAGTTTTTAGAGCGTTTTTTGCTTTTCTCATCCTTACGTTTAATTATAGTAAAAAGTGCTGTAAAAACTTGAACACCCACCATTTTTACAGTCGCCATATCATATGACTTTTCGAAACTGAAGCACACAAGATATTGTAAAAAATACCTTCCGATAAATAAAGGACAATTATTACCAAGCAAGCCTTATGCGAACTAGTTTTCTAAGTAAAAAAGTTGTACAAGCTTTCAAAAAAAAAGAAAAAAACATTTATGGTTCCAACCTACAGAAAAAAATTTTACATTTCAAGAAAGTTACTTTGAAAACAACAGCAGCACTCACCACTTAAAGGACTCATGAAGTGCAAATAAGCAAAAAATATATTAAGAAAGACAAAGAAAAACTAACGAACCAATTCGTTTTGCTTCCGCAAAGTGCTAGCTTCCTTCTGGGCTTTAGAGAGTTCCTCAACTTTCCTCGATAATGTTGCTTTTTCTTCTTCAGCAGCAATTACTCTCTCCATCAACGCTTTGACCAACTCTTCGCCCTTCAAACACCTACCAATACTCTCTAATTCATTTTTAACATCTAAAAATGAATTTATTACTTGAACAGTTAGTCAGGGAAAATCTAAAATACTGAACATTAATTGCAATAATTCTATTATTAAAAATTGTTAACCTATCACTCTTCCACTTCTCAACAGAAAATGATCACGTATTAAAAAACAATTGCAAACATTTTAAAACGGAAAAGAAATAACACTAATATAGCCCTAACAAAGCTTGAATGAAAAAGAAGAACAACTTTTAGAAAAAAGCAAGATACTTCGAACAAGTTTTAATGTTTTTTGGGCATACTCAACTAACCATTAAGAAGAAGCCAAGATTTATGAAACTCTACCTGGTTTCTGCGAAGGAGGGGCCATTGGTTGGTAACGAGACAAGCTATCGGCCCGTGATCTCTTACTGACAAATATTTCCTAAAAATGAGACTTAGAAAGCTGAGACGACGCGGAGTCACAACTAACGCTGTAAAACGAACTTGTTCATAAAAATGGGAAGAATTATACAATAAGCTAAAGATATAATGAAAATGTCAAAAATAACTATAATCTAAATATTTTGTTTGAGAAAGCTGTGAGCAAAGAAGTTTCTGGAGATTATTATCGTAGTTATAGTGTTCGAAATGGCAAACTCCTCACTATGAATAAACTGAAAATGAAAATCGTCACTCATCTTAAAACCTAATTGTTTAGAGATGTCAACTGCTAAAAAAAAAACAGTATAGACTGAACAACCACAAAACTGGAAGAAAATAAATGAATACTATAAGAAAAAATCATCTGAACCGTCAAAATCTTGTTCTTCCCCGTCTTACGACCAAATTCAACCTTCTGTCCTTCCTTCTAACGCTTTCCCTTACGCCTAACTTCTTGTTTTCTGGACGACTCAAGAACATTTTGCTCAACTAGTGCTCCTCCATAAACTGACATTCACAAGTCAGGAAAGAAGTGGTTCTGCAAAACAGTTAAAGAAAAACTACAACTGAAAATGCTTTTTCTTCCATGAGCTCAGTTCTCACCCAAACATCTGTTAGTACACAGCAAGCAGCCATCTGGAAAGTTACAGCACATCTGAAACACAAAATGAAAGGTAAAAAGAGTTTCCAGACCTATTATCTTTAATAGGCAGAAAAGTAACAACAAATTAGTCGTTTCTAAATAAGTGACACCTTTAAAAAGCATTTTACCGCTTTTATTTCAAGTTATAATTAATGCTCCCAGAACTTCTTTTATTCCCTACAAACCACTCTGTGGCACAACATTACTTCCAAAGTACCTTTCAACGAAACTTCTCACCTACACGGACACAACGGGCAATAGGTCAAGTTTATTTCCTTGACATATCTTTAGCACCAGTCGCGGATCATCTTCCCACCCTCTTATGGAAGGTTTCTTTCCCTCCTCCAGCAGAAGAAACATATCTCATTCAGAAATCGGAAAAAACTAACTTCAGCATGAGAAACTGGAAAATTTCGTCAAAAGATGTGTTTTCTACATCTTAAGAGAATCCTACTTATCTTTTCACGACTTAAAAGGAAGTACCTAATGCTTCTGCGAGACAAATACCATCTTAGCCGCCTTCACCAAATGACCCACCAGTGTAACTGTTTTCAAATCAACCAGTTCACGCACTGCTTCATTCAACTCTTTTCTTATCACGATGATGAAACTATAAAAGAAGTACAGGATAACGGCAGTTCAACACCGATGAAGATAGTCATAACAAGAGCAACTCTGAAACTATAAACTACCGCTGCACACAAAAAAAAGCACCCAGAACAAAAAGAAAAACGACTCACTTCAACTGAATGGTTGAAGTCCTTTCCACAGAAAAAATGCCCCCCATTAACTGGACTCCTCATGCCAGTTCAAAAGGTAAAAAGTAAGACACTACCACTACTTTTAGCAAACTAAATTCTGCAAAAAACAAAGAAATAAATAAGATTGAAACACAATACAAAATTTTAGAAGCCATTACTCATTTTACAACGTGCCATTTCATCTTATCAAGAAAATTCAGTAAAAACCATACTGCCCATATTTTAGCTGAATTACTAAAAGTGTAGAAACGAAGTGCTGGACCGTATTAATGAAACAACAAACTCAGTAAGGCGCAATGCAATGCAATGCTTGTTTAAACAAGAGTGACTGAG